AAAATGTATTTTAGTCTAAAAAAATATGAAATTTTGAGCAGACTAAAGACACACCCTACCTCCTTGAAATCTTGGTTCAAAAGAAATGGCATCATAAGAACTTGAAATGGTGAGAAAGCCACTAGTGGGACATTATGAACTTCCAATTGGTTATTCATGTCATATATAGAAGTAAGTGTATATAAGGGAGTGAAAGAGGTGAGCAGGGTGCCACTGTGTTTAATTTATTACATGAGTAATATCTTAGCAAATAGAAAAGGTAAGACCTTCTTATTTTATGTTCTAACTTGTCAATATTGGTCAATTTGGCTTTCTAATTTGTATGAAACTATACACTTAGTATTTTGACTTCACAAACATCTAATTTGAACCAGTGCTGCATTCAACATACCATGTGACACACAAAAATCGATGTTTATCTGGGTTTTTTTATATATACTTTTAAATTAAGAAATTGAGTAATGTATAGTAGTAAAATATGAATTATAATCTACAGTTTGATACCAAACTTATTGACATAACTTCATGAAATAGTAGTTTAATAAAATTTTGAATGCGAGTCAATAAATGAGGTGACTGCATTTCACCTGTGACACATCTCGAAAGAGTTAAGTTATTCTAGTACCAATATGACTATAATGATGAGTGCCTTGTTTAACCAGTTTAGGGAATTTTGTTGTTTGAACTTCACCAATTAATTTTATTGAACATCAAAGTTTGTTGATTATAATAATATATGAATAAACTTTATTTTTTTCTTTACTGTTCAAATGATTTGAGTATCTGTAAACACAAGAATATGCTGCCACCTTCCAAGTTAAACACTACATTTTTCTTCACCATGCTATAGCCTACAACATATTCACTAAAAATGTATTTAACAGGTCAACTCTGATGAAATATTAGAGGTACTCAAGCTCTAAGCAGAAGTTGATATGAAAGATAAACACTAATTGTGTGTTGAAAGGAGGTTTCTATTTTTATCAGAGTGAGTGAGATAAAAATGAAATCCAAAACAATAGATAAAGTTAATTAAAAATTATAAATTGTGCAGGCAGTCTTTTGTAATAATTTCATAACTTCACTACAAACATTATTACATCATAGAAAATACTGACAAATGATTAACAAGGTTAAATACAAATCAGCAAGTACCAAATTGAACTTGAGGTTGAGTTAATATAATTTTATATCAAGAAGATAGAACAAGTTGTTTGAGATGATCAACCTTATTTGTGGATGACTGCTTTGATGCCAAAAAAAAAGTAGTACAGTATTTTTATAACATTAAATTATCAGGTGATTGCTGTCAATGTGGAAGTAAAGGATTTTATTTGTTTTGTTGTTTTTCTTTTATTCATTTTGCTAATTCAGTTAGTTATGTATACTGCTTGGGAATGTGTTAGGCTAACTAAAAAAAGGATTATTTTTGTCAGAAGTTGTAGTAAACTTGGAAAAGTGAGTGGCATTTACTTTTATGCCCACTATTAAGGCTATGAAGAAAGGTAAGATTAAACTCTATTCACTAATCATAAAGTAGAAAAATATATAGTTTGGACACCGAACAAGGGGTGGATGATGATAAAATCAAATATTTTTGTTTAACTGGCATTAGATAAGCCAAGCCCTCACATACTTGAGTGTAGAATCTTACCGAGACTGGTTCATTCTATCACCAGGTTTATTCTTAGTGGAAGTGAAAAGATCTGTTTTGAATTTAACATCTGAGAGATAATTAAAAATATATATAATTAGTAGGCTTAGAGTATGATATGTTGTCCATCCAATAAACTCTGTAAAGTTAATGTAAAAACTAAGTATCATTCACATGGATTGAGAAGTGTTTTTGTGACCTTTATTTTTTCAATAATTAATCATACAAAACAAAAAGAAAATGATTTTCATTATACATTGTTACGTCAAGTAATTACAGTGTACAAATGTATTAATGAAATCTTGAAATTTTGTCAAAACTCTACAAATTACTCTATTTCATATAGTCTCTTTTTCGGTTTGGATGTGTGCTTCAGTGGTAAAACTTGCTTGCTGCTGTATGGAGAATCCCAAAATTTATCAGTGTTTTGTGTCTATCTTATGAACACACAGTTTATATTCTAAAGTAAAGTTGACAGCATTATGCAACACAAGTTTACGGTGTATAGAAATACTCAAGATTAATGAGTGGTTATAAGATTTGAAATATACCAACAGTCCAGTTACTTGACTATAGACTTAAGTAAACTGATCAAAATATTTTTAAATCTGATGCTCACTTAATTATTAGGCTTTGAAAGTCATTTATTATGTTTTTGACCAATAACATACTGATCCTGTAACAATATTGTTTACATATAAGTTGAAATATAACAAATTTAAAGTTTACACATCTAACATTTAATGTAAATGGAGTACAATGCAGTAAATCAAAGTTTCAGGTTATTCTTGTACAAAAGGCAAAATACATTGTAATGAGAACATGTTTTTTAAATAATATTCTGTAGTATAATATTGTGTGTATGATTTTTTTTCTTTATAGTCTAAAACGTATTGCATTAAAATCTAATGCTTACTCGTAAAATTTATTGCAAATTGTATTATACTTAAAAACATAAAAGTAAATAATAAACTTAGCATCCTTGTTATGTCTGATAACGTTATCGAAAATTGGCAAATCTCACGTTACACTAGTTTGTTACTTTGATTTGCATTAACATAAAATAGGTTATTGAACACTATTATACTGTTTAGCTTTTACTTTTAAACTGACCAGAAACTATGAATAGTATTATGTATTATTTTTCATTATGTCAACTAGCAAGTAACTACCTTGTTTAACTTTGGTTCACGAAAACTAACCAGAAACTTAACACTATCACCTTGAATATTTTACCACCTAGACTGAAACCAGTACAACTTTGCAGCATGCAGGCTAATACAGTTCGATGACGAGGAACCCACTTTGAGACTAATAATGGCTGGAGACGGCTTGAATGGGTAATGAAGAAAAACTTTAATATAAGTTTAACATAACAGCAAATGTACAACGTTTCGACAAGGTTTTGTCATCATCAGGTAAT